GGCTCCCACCTTGCCGGGCTTAGCCGCTGCCTGGGTCTTTACTTTTAAACAAGCCGGCCATTCGAACCTCCATCCACGCTACACTACCAATAATAAATAGTGAAACCAGGCCGTGAGTTTCCGTCAACCAAACCCTGAGAAATTGGTGGACAGCAGTGACAACAAGCACCTCACAGATGGTAGCAGTGGAAGATGTCGCTTCTTTCCAGCTTGCGACATGAACACCAAGCCTCCTACAAGAACCAGCTCATCTCTTCAAAAACAAAACTGTACGTACGCCATGGCAATTCTTTTCCTTTCCTTTACCTTTCCCATGTATGCATGCCGTTATGTTTTCAACAAGTGCAGTGATTATTTTTTTAAACATCTGAACAAGTGTCCGTGCTAGTGCATTTTTTCTCTCTATTATCTACCATGTTTCTTCGAATTTCCTCGTCATTTGCGAGAGTAATTTTCTTTACATAACTCGGTCATGGTATACTAAAGCATTATGTAAGTAGATTCGTGCGTGAATTTTTCTTTAGATTTTTTTTTTCCCGTATGCTCTATGCCTACGCAGGTACAACTGTGAAGTATTGCCATATTCCAGGCATATTTTATTATCATTATTCCCTATTGCGTTAACCGATGCCCTGCTGACGTAGATTTCGTCATTTTTTGTCGTTCAGTTTCTTTATTTCGACTCGGCTTAACTATGCATTAGTGGGATAATTTATCGAAATACTTAAAACATTCCTTTTTTTCTTTCTCCAGACCACCCCCCTACTCTAGTTCCCAACTTTCCCTGTCTCCTTAAACTCCCTCCTTCCACATTTTCCCTCCCTCTCCACCTATTTTTAATATATCTGTTAAGGTCACTAGCGTTTTAATATTCTAGTGTCGTGATATCTGTTTGTAAGTTAATTTCAGTTAAACAAATGAATTAATATAAGTGAGTTATCATTTTGTAAGTGTGATTCTCGCCAGACTTCACACTTGCTTTTCACAACCGAATTTTGACCGCGCGTTGCCTGTTTTCCTGACCTTTCTGTCCGTGTGATATCGTTCATTATCAATTCGTTATCTTGCTGTTACATTCCGAACATTATATTTTTTTCTTTCTTGTGTTGTATACATTTATACGTACGATGTGTTATGTTTTATTCGTGTTTTTCATATTATAAAAAAGGAAGCATTAATATGTTTTATATGTACGAATGATTATTTTAATTATGGTGCGTTTAACATTTAGTACATCTAATCGAATCAGGTCAGGTTATGTCAAGTGAAGACATTTCCCCTCGCTTTCGATCTGCCTGAATCAACTATTTTCTTATATATATATATTTTTTATTTTATTTCAATTTATTTCATCGTTTTCACTATTTCTCTTTTCATATAACTTGGTGGTTTTGATTACGTGAATTAACAGCTTACGATAGAGTGATAATGTTACTTTAGCTTTGACAGGGTTCATTTTCACTACCTTTGTTCTTTTTCGTTATCGACATATTTTTCAGTTTCTGTTATTGTACAGTTTATGCATACTTATCACGGTCACAATTATTTTTCATGCATTTATGTTATTACTAGCTTCTGCTATTTGTGTACAGCACTTGGGTATAAACCAGACTTCGATCTCACTCAGGTAAAAGGGTCAACTCTGCCATCTGACTCCGCCCACGACTAGAAATATTCATTCAAGTTCATTATTGTTTCTAATTTTTATTTCAATTATATTTCAATGTTTAGAATATTTTTATTATATTAGCTACTACGATTTCATATTGTTCGTGATTTTCGTTATCATAACTCATCAATTCGCGTGAAATAGCCTAGGTCATCCTAACAATTTTCCTTCTTTCCTCTATCGTGATAATCGTCAAGATGCTGACTGATTTTCGTTTCTTCCATTAATAATCTTAATCGCGAACATCATTTCACCATTATTACATGGTCCTTGGTGACGATCCCACTCTGGGTTCTGGACATGTATTTAGTGTTAAGTCGCTGTCCTTACACGTGCTCACACGCACTCTTATCGCCCCTCTGCGACCCACGCCCGTGATGCGCCCAATGTTTTTACGACTCTACGTGTGCTTAGCGCTGGCATTTCTCAACGGGATGGGATGCCCAATTAGCGTAATGTTTTTGCGACGTATGAGCTCGTCCCGGTAGTAACCTCTTCAACCTGAAAATATGGTGGGGTATTGACCACTTTTCCTCCGGGAACCTTATGTTTAGTATAAGAAGCAACCACGTGGTTGTCTTATCGGCGATCAGTTGTTCCAGAGAAGCAGACCCGGTCTGCTTCCATCATGCTTTGCTCTGCAAGCTTTGCTTTGCAAGCTGTCCCGTGACAGACTTGTCACCCTTTTCATTAATTTCACACACTGTAAGCAGTATCCTTTTTGTGATTTCGTATTTTAGTTGATATAATGTTACAATTACCGTTTGATAGTAAATATATTAACATAATTATGAATATCCTTTTCGTGCAATCAGATTGGTATCTATTTCC